GGTCTCTGTGTGCCTGTCCCTGGGTTTGCATAGTTGACCCCATCCCAGCTTCACCCCAGTTCCTTATTCCCTGAGTCATGCCTCTATCTCATTGTCTACTAGCTTCTACTATTCCATTTAATATAGAAGTGTTTCTTTCATCAGATAGTTCTTTGTGAACAGAATTGGTCTTATTTATTGGGGGTATCCCTAGAGTTTAGCCCAATGGCACGCACTTAGTAAGGAGTTAGTAAATATTTGTTGGATGTTAGAGTTCTGTGTCATCTGGCCTTTGTCCCTTTTGTGCCAGAACAAGTTTTTACTTGTTACCCTGAGCTGCTGTCAGTGGCCATATTTAGCCCACTGACTGTTCCTTCAAAACCATTTAGCACATTGCTCAGTGGGCAGTGGCTCCTCAGGCAAAACCAGCCTTCCATTCATTTCAAATGGAAAGAGAGAGGAAAAAACCAACAACAAACCACACCAAAAACCTCAAGTTGAGCAAACGATGATGTAGACCAGAGCTTGGCAAACCTTTTCTGTGAAGGGCCAGGTAGTAAATATTTTCGGCTTTACACACCACAAGTCTCTGTCACAGCTGCCCAGCTCTCTGGCTTCGTAGAGCAAAGGGAGCCTAGATGATACACGAATGTACGTGTGGCCCCGTTCCAGCACGGCTCTAGTTACAGAAGCTGGCGATGAACCAGACTTGGCCCGAGGGCCAAAGTGTTCCAACCACTAAGCTATAGAATATGGAAGCGACTATTGCTAACATCAGAGGACTTCCTGCATATAATCACCTGGGAAACGGGGACTGGGAGATTTAAAGAAAGGGTCCAATATTATACTTTTTTGTATTTTTTTTTGCAACCCTTGGAATAGTGTTTTACCTACAGTAGGTGTTCAATAAATACTGATTTGATTGGGGTTCCAACTATATTACTTATTCTCCAGGGCTTCTGTCATCTCATCTGAAGTTTAAGGGTTTATGCTATGTGGTTTTTAATGTTTCTCCATTAAAAATAAATCTGTCATATTGCAAGGGCAGGTGGTTTATTCTTTAAAAAGTAATCGTTGGATTATCACATTTTCTCTATGCCTTTAATAGCCTGATGTGGAATTCTGGGAAATGGTTGCTTTTATGAATCCTGTTTGTGGACCTTTCCACAATGGGGAACTCATTGTCCACCAGGCTGTACCTGTACCTTCCACCCATCTCTATCACCTCATCCTGCCACTTGATGAAACCTTCTCTCTCCCTCTCTCTCTCTTTCTCTCCCTCCCTCCCTCCCTCCTCTCTCTCTCTCTCTGTCTTTTTTAAAGAATAAAGGTAACCTAGACAGTCTCAGGTGATTCTCTGTAGGAAGATAGCGATCAAGGTGAGGACCAATCAGTCTGTTTGTCTTTTAGAATTACATTTTTCGAAAATATGTATCAGGAAAGCAAACATTCCATCATTACTTTATTCATTTAAACATTATAAATAAACATTAGTCCAAAATAATTGTAAATAGTACATATGTAAATTTTTACCAGCATACCTAAATTCTAAATTCTTCTTTCAGTTAAACTTTTGATGGATTTTTTTTTATAGATTTTTAATAAAAAGTGATTTGTTTTAAGATTAGATAAATTGTCTGATGATCTTTTAGACTGTTCTCAAGAAGTGTAAGCTGGAATATATTTCTAGTCTACGAAGTGGAGAAACTTCAGAATACACTAAAAAAGTTTTTATAAGGAATACAGAAATTTTTTCTTTATTATATCTTAGTATATCTTAGGCTTTTGAAGTTTCCTAGTCTCTATTTTTAAGTAAGTATAGATCTGTGCTAAAAATAACAACCTATATAATAAGAGGTAATATGTAAATTGACAGCCACACCCTCACACACAAGATGGCTGCTCCCATGTCATCATAAGATAGCTGCCACAAGATGGCCGGCAGGGGAGAGCAGTTGGGGGTAACTAGGTCGGCAGGGGAGGGCAATTGGGGGCAATCATGCTGGCAGGGGAGCAGTTGGACATTGATCATGCTGGCAAAGGAGTGGTTGGGGCAATCAAGAAGGCAGGCAGAAGCAATTAGGAGCCAGCAGTCTTGTATGGTGAGAAGGATGTCCAACTGTGGGATCGGGCCTAAACCAGCAGTTGGACATCCCCCGAGGAATCCCAGATTGGAGAGGCTGCAGGCTGGGATGAGGGACCCCCATTCTCCTCTAGTAAGCAATAATAATATTTTTATAAATTAATTTGGAGGAGCTCCTCTTAAACTTTAATGGGCTTAACAATGACCTCAGACATCTTATTTTTAAAAAGTGGGCTCTGATTTACTAGATTTGGAGGGGCTTTAACGAATATTAAGATTAAGAATCAGGTTCTTTCAAATTACTTTTAATATAGTACATTATGATTACGTTTACCCACGCATGAATATGTTTCTGTGTCTCAGTCTGGCCCATTTAATTCTGCTGGGCAATCTCTTCATCTTTTCATTCTACCCCAGCTAGCACTCTCCTTTCTAAGTGTGATTTTTGTCTTTACATTTAGTCGCCTCTGCAGTTGGACTTTTCTTATTTAGACTCTCTTATATTTTAATACAGCCTTGCTGACTCACTCCTTTGTTTTAAAATTGTGAAGAGTGCTATCAAAGGTGGCTCAAACAATAAAAACCTCTAGCTGATTGAGAACTTCCTATGCTACTGACAAAGTAGGAAACATTCAGAAAGGCAAGTGTTGGCGGGAATTAGGGAGCCTTCACCTTGTGGTGGCTGCTTCCTGGATAAGGTGACCATAGGTCCTCACTGACCCGGGACAGTTGGCGGTTTACATCTCTGTCTTGGCTTGTTTTCAATAGTGCCCATCTCTGCCCTCAAAAAATGACCTGCTTTGGACAACACATTTTGTTTTCATCCTGTTCATGTTTCTTAGAATTTTTCTTACACTTTCCCAGTAATGCTTATTCCCCTTTCTTCCCAATACATCTGTCTACCCTATATTGACAATGAAAGCACCTTAGTACTAACAATCTAGTGTCTTTGTAGGTGATGACTATACATTGTGTGCATTGTAAAAATATAAATCCAGTAACTAGCAGCCTTTTGAACAGAAAAATTTAAATCTGGATTTTTTTTTAAAGCAGTATTTTCAAAAATTATTTTACAAACTATTTCTGGAGTCTCAATAATGAATTTTAAGTATATTCCGAAACAGGTTTTGTGTTTTTTTGTGTGTGTCTCCCCCCTCCGTTGAAGAAATAAGTTCTTACCACTGGGCCACAAACCCCGCCCCCCCCCCCTTTGAAGAAATAAGTTCTTACCACTGGGCCAAGTGATATCAAATTGGTAAGACTTATTAGGGCAAAGAAGAAAGTATGATTACGGGGTCTGGACTGCTTCATTTTAAGCAGAGGAAGCATTTATTTTTTTATTTTTGTGTGAAATATATAAAAAGAACTTCAACCAAAAACTAGGAACAATTGGGCTATTAATAAATACCCTGTGTCAGGAAGGTAACAGTAATTGTACCTCACGGCATACGCAAGCAATGGAATTGCTGCACAGGTAACCACTCCTAAAATACAGAGCTTACCTAGTTAAAATGCTTCTTTACTCTTTTGCATTGCTAATTTGAAGATATATTGGTGCATTGGTCCAATCTGACATTCGTAGAAAATTTACCCTTTTGCCAAGACCGGTTTGGCTCAATGGATAGAGCGTCGGCTTGGGGACTGAAGGGTCCCAGGTTCGATTCCAGTCAAGGGCATGTACCTTGGTTGCGGGCATATCCCCAGTAGGGGATGTGCAAGAGGCAGCTGATCGATGACTCTCTCTCTCATCGATGTTTCTAACTCTCTGTCTCTCTCCCTTCCTCTCTGTACAAAATCAATAAAATATATTTAAAAAAAAAAAAAAGAAAATTTACCCTTTTATAGCTGTACCATTAATTCAGAGACTTGGCAGATACTTCTGAAATACGCATTTAATTTGGACATGACCTGAAAGTTTCCCATCTAGAAATCTAGACGGGATTCTGGCTTAAGTGTTTCAGGAGCAGATTCCCTTCATTAGTCTCCTGTTATTTCATTTGTCCTTTCCTAGTGCTGGATCTGAATTATTGTTCCTTTGTTGTTATTTTTCTTCATCTCAGCCGAGGCCATTAATTTGTGGTTATTTTTGGCTAGCAAGTACTTGAAAATAAGGAATTTGGTTTTTCCTCCTCATCAATGGAGAAGACAGCTGGAAGACTTGTGGGGTTGGTTATCTGTCCCTACACTCTCATCTCTGGGCCTGACATCCCTTTTGAACTATACAGCCAGGACTCTTCTTGATGTGACCAATGTATGTTTAGTACCGTCTGTGCAGTCACCGAGGCCTAATGGTAGTTCAGCTTTAATTTTTTTATCCTATTCTATCAGTCACTAAATACATCAAGAAGTATGTCTGAAGGAAAATTGGAATCTCTCTTCTTCCCATCCTTATTGCCTTTTCCTGAATTATTTTAAATATATTATTAATTTTTTAAGTCATTATCTCTCACCATAGCAATTTAAATAGCCCTTTGAGCCCCGCCTATGTGGTTAAGTGTCGTGTCAAGCCATAAGTCAGGAGGTCACCGGTTCTATTCCTGGTCAGAGCATATGCCTGGGTTGTGGGCTTGATCCCCCGTGGGAGGTGGGCAGGAGACAGCCAATCAATGGTTCTCTCTCATTGATGTTTCTATCTATCCCTCTCCCTAAAATCAATAAAAACATACTCTAAACAACTTTTAAAAATAAATAAATGGCCCATTGACTTCCGTTGTGTTCTCCCCCAGCCCATTCCTTACCTAATTACTAATCAGTTTCCTGCTCAAAACTCTTCTGTAGCATTTGATGATCAACTTCAGCATTTCCTGGAGCCCTGTGGGTTTTTCAGGGCTTCTTTGTGAATCTTCTCAGGCAAGGGAAAGAACCAAGTGGATAGGAATCTGGTGATCTAATCCTGGTCAAAGTTACTTTGATTTTAATTTAAAAAAAAAAAAAAAAAAGCATTTCTTAACACTACACGAATTTGCATGTCATCCTTGCGCTGGGGTCACCGTAATCATCTCTGTATTGTTTCAGTTTTACGATAGGTGCTGCCGAAGCAAGCACAGTCTGTTTTTCCTTTTGAGGTTAAGCATAAAGATTCATTCTTCAGAAGAGGGAGACACTCATAGCCACAGCCACATCCACCTTTGGGTCCTAACCCTCCCAAGAGCACCAAGATCTAGTTTAGTCATTTAGCACCTATCATAGCACAGTGTTTGGACCATTTATACTTAATATAATTGGTGACACGATTGAGCATAAATCTATATTGCTGTTGTTTCCTATTGTCCCATCTGTTATATTTTCTTTTTTCCCTTCTTTCCTTGTCTCCTTTTAGTATATATTTTTAGTATTCTAATTTATTCTACTATTGCTTTATTAAATTCTCTTTTTAAACCATTTGCTTTAGAGTTTACAAAATCAATTTGAACTTGTCATTGTTTACTTTCAAATAATAGCATAATACTGTATTTGATGTATAATAAGAACCTGAAACTTTATACTTCTTTCTCCCATCCATCCTTTGTGCTATTATAATCACACTAGGGGCCCAGTGCATGAATTCATGCACCTTATAAAGGAACTGTAGGCTGCAAGGCTGTGGTTGGCACAGGGGCGGGTCTCAGCCCATCCTCCAAGTCCCCGCCTTGCCCCTTTCACCACAAACCCCTCTCACCCAGTCCCCTGTCTGCTGGCAGCCCCAATTCAGCCACCGCTACCTACCGCTGCTCCCATGAGCTGATGGTGCCAGCCCCACTTGCACCCGCTGTTGGCACGGAATGGTGGGAGCTGGCACCAGAAGCAGGTGCAAGTGGCAACTGCTGCCCTGATCACCCCTTAGGAGCTGGGGGAGGTGGAGAAGCCCTCAGGGGTGATTGGGACTGGCCCCAGGTGCTGGCAGAAGGTGCGAGTAGTGACTCTGGCACCAGCTGCAGGTGCGAGCGGGGCCGTCGCCAGGCCAGCAGCGGGTGTGAGAGGCGGCTGCTGGCCCCAGTCGCCCCTCAGGAGCAGGGGGTGGTGGAGAAGCCCTGAGGGGTGATCGGGGCCGGCAGCTGCCACTCACATCCACTGACGGTGCCAAGTGATTGTGGCTGGCACTGGGCTCTGGCAGTGAGTGCAAGCAGTGGCTCTGGCAGCCAGTGCAAGAAGGGCTGGCGCTGGCAGCAAGTGCGGATGTGGGTCGGGACCGTGGCTCATGGGAGCAAAGAATTTTCAGTAACCACCAGAGGCTCACCCCAATGACAGCAACCGGCACCCTGCCTTGGTCTGGAGCCCCTGCTCACCTGTTCTACCATCCTGCTGTGGCCGATGCCTGCCTTCCCCCCCCCCCCCCCCACTTACCCCCTAGTGGTCAGCGCATATTTTAGCGACCAGTTGTTTGGTTGTTCAGTCTATTTGCATATTAGCCTTTTATTATATAGGATGTTTTATTTCCTCATATGTTATAAATCTTGACAGTACATTGTTAACCACTTTTGTTTGAAGCAGTCAATTAAAATTTAAAATGAGAAATAAAAGGTCTTACTTTTACATTTGCCTTTTATGCCACTCTTCATAATTTGTATGGATTCAAGTTTTCATCTTATATACTTCCTGCCTGAACAACTTTATGTAACATTTTTTATATGTAAATCTTTTGTTGATAAATTCTTTCAGCTTTTGTCTATCTTGGAAAATTTTTTTGCTTGTATCTTGACAAGATACTTTCACTGGATATAGAATTGTAACTCACCAATTTCTATGCTTTAAGCTTTTCAGTGATGTCATTACAACTTCTGCCATGAATAGTTTCAGTTGAAACGTTTGTGTTCATTTTTAGCTTTGTTCCTGCGTATGCAATGTGACATTTTCCCCTCCCGGTTTTAAGATTTTCTTTGTCATTTGGTTTTCAGGAGTTTGATTATGGCATACCTTGGCATGTATTCTTTTGGTCCATGAATTCTTGCTTGAGGTTTGAGTGTTTTGGACTTGTGGGTCTTCCATCAATTTTTTAGAAATTCTGATCATTATTTCTTCAGATAGTATTTTCTCTTCGCTTCTCTGAGATTCCAATAACACTTATGTTAGACTATTTGATGTTCTTGTGAAGGTCAGTGAGGTTTTATGCGTTCTTTTCACTGTTTTGTTATCTCTTCTTGACTTTGGAGAGTTATTATTTCCATTTCTCCAAGTTTACTAATCTTCTGTTCTGTGAAATCTATAATAGTTTCTCCGAGTTTCCTTGTTTTTGATGACCACAATAGTCTTAAGGAGTATTGGTTGAGTATTTTTAAGACTGTTCATTTTGGGTGTATATGATTTTTTTTCTTACTTAGTCTGGGATTATAGGTTTTGGGAAGAATGCCACTTTCATCATCAAGAATGTGTGCTCTTTAAAAAATATATATTTTATTCATTTTTTTACAGAGAGGGAGAGGGATAGAGAGCTAGAAACATCGACCAGCTGCCTCCTGCACACCCTCTACCAGGGATGTGCCCGCAACCCGTGTACATGCCCTTGACTGGAATCGAACCTGGGACCCTTCAGTCCGCAGACCGACACTCTGTCCACTGAGTCAAACCGGTTCTGGCAAGAATGTGTGCTCTTAACGTATCACTGATGAGTTTAATCTTGACCTCCTGGCTGAAGTAGTATTTGTCGGTTTCTTCACAATAAAATTCCTCTTTCCCTCTGCTATCTACATTGTACCCTTTCAAAGAAGGTCACTAAGTATAGCTCATGTTTTTAAGGATCTGGGAGTAATGCTCCTCCTTGAGAGTGAATAAATTATTTAGAATTCTTCTGAATGTGTATCATGGATCCCCAAGTCCATCCTCACATTTAATGATCTGCTAGAAGGACTCACAGGACACAGCATGTCATTGTACTCACAGCTATGATTAAGGATAGTAAAAGGACAGTAAGCAAAATCAGCAGGGTGCAAAAGCACGTTGGATGAAATCCAGAGGAAACCAGGCACAAGCCTTCAGAGCATCTCCCAGTAGCACCAGAGAGGAGGCAGTTGATTGTCCAGCATTGAGCTACGACACCACGGGTGAAATGTTACCAGCCACGGAGCTCAGTAGAGACCCAGTGCCCAGGACTTTTACCAGGGCTGATCACATGAGTATCCAGTGCCAGGCACATACCCGCATTTTAGACTCCCTGGAGGAAAGCAGATGTTCAGCATAATCTGTATTGTTTGTACCAACCGTTTAGGCACAGTGTGAGCCACTCAGACCAGTTCTGGGAATGGTGGGGGCCCTCTTGAAATGCAAGTTTTAGATGCTAGCCAAGGGCCGACTTTCAGAGGCTACCAGTCGGGCCTGCTAGGTTAACTCTTTTTCTGCACAATGTGAGATTGATCTCTTCTTACTTTTGTATATAATCATAAATTTATATCAGTATACATTCGTGGATATTTATTTTATAGTTTGGGTTAGAGTCCAAAACTACATTCCTCATTTTGTTGCTGAAATTGTTATAGCGGCCCTTTCATGCTTTTGGCCCTAAAGGATGCTCTAGGTTATTTTATGTGCTTAAGTCCTAAAATCAGCCATTTCTCCAAGAATCCTGTTTTCTTTCTTTTCTTTTATTAAAAATATATTTTTTTTATTGATTTCAGAGATAGAAAGGGAGAGACAGAGAAATAGAAACATCAGTGAGAGAGAAAGGTCCATCAGCTGCGTCCTGCATGCCCCTGCTGGGAGCGAGCCCTCAACCTGAACATGTGCGCTTACCTCTTGGTACATGGGATAGTGTTCAACCACTGAGCCATTCTGACCAGGCACTCCTGCTTTCTTTCCATAATGAAGTTTAAAAATGTTAAAGTATTCATTGTAGAAAATTTGGGAAATGTAAAGAGTGGGCAAAAATAGGTTTACAGTTGTTTATATGGAAAAACAATAATATAAGCATAACCTGTTTCGCACTCACAACTGTAAACCTACTTTTGCCCACCCCTGAATAAAGAAGTAAGTACATTAAGAAGTAAAAGTTGCCTTGGTCAGTTTTGCTCAAAAGGTCATGGGTTCGATTCCCAGACAAGGGCAGGTACCTCTGTCTGGGCACATGTGGGAGGCAACCAATCGATGTTTCTCTCTCTCTCCTCCTGCTCTTCTCCCTCCCTTTCACTGTCTGAAAAAATCAATGGAAAAAAAATATCCTCTGGTGAGGAATAAAAAAAAGAAGAAGAAGAAGAAGAAGTAAATGTTAACTACTGGTAATAATTATAGATAATTACTGTTAATGTTTTGTTGCATTGTTTAATGAAGATTCAAAGCAAAATATCAAGTATTTTTTGCCACCATTTTATTTCATTTATTTTTTGTATTTCCTGTGTGGTATTAATTATCTAATACACCTGAAGGCATCTTTCCTTCCATTCCTAAAATCTCTCAGTCTCTTTTCTAAACTCAAAAAAAAGGTGAGAACTTTTTGAAGAGGCTAAAATCTGTGGGGGATGTTGAAGGCTCTAGGAGTGACATTTTGTATGGGAAAATTTGGCAAGTCTCTTTCTTCCCCACATTAATAATTCCTGAGATAATTTAAAAAGATGTTACTCTGAGGAATAATCCATATATTTGCACTCTTCCTAAGAATGTTCATAATTGAAGATTTTTATTTCCTGTGGGTACATAGAACATTAAATTCCAATGAATTGTATTTTGTGATATTTCCAGTTAGATCCAAATTTTATTATATATCAAAGAACATTTTGTTTAGATTCTATCTAAAGGACAGTTATTACTTTTTTAGGATTTACTGAGAAATTTTCCTGGTATACATTTGTGTGTGTGTGTGTGTGTGTGTGTCTCTATGTGTGTGGTGTATGTTAGAATGTATACCTCTGTCTATCTTCTACTTAGAAATGTAAACCAGGTAACGGATTCCATGAATCCTAAGTATGGCAGTCAAAGGGCATAGAGTTAAATGGAAATTGATTAAAAGAAAGAGGGAAACCCACTTTGTAACTCTTCGAGGACGAGAGACCTGCCACAGTCACCCTCTGTGTCCAGAGCTGCCAAAGGGACCTCAGCAGAGGCTGATAATCCCACCTTGTGAATTTCTTTAAAATAGTCTA